TTTTGATTTATTTTTTTTGTATATCACTCATGAAACGAATACATGATTGCGCCATAAACTGAATATTGAGATTTTTTATGTATGGAAATATAGTCTAAATAAAACATAAAATGATATTTAATAACAATTTTTACATATTTAGTGATTTATAATATTTGTATTTGTCAATTTTTATATGATTTTTTTAAGTTTCAAAACTTCATAATTCTCAATAATGGGATTTGATGTATTAACAATAACATTGTCATTTTTAAATTTTTAGAATATGTTGTATCAATAGTTTATTTAAAAGACACTTTATTTAATCCTTGTACTATCATATATTGAAGAGTGGAATAATTATATACAATACATAATTGTTTCAAACTCATATGACGTTATATAATATTTTTGTTAATTATTGCATTTATTTTTTATGTTGAGTCTACAACTAAATACATAAAAGAGCGAGGATTCACTCAAAATTTTTGTGACTTCTTTTGAAGATTGTGCAATTGCTATTTTGATCTTAGATGAACTAAGGAATCATACATAACCCTCGAGCAGATATGAACTTTCATTTATCTAGAATTTTTTCGTGATATCATTTATAATTATTTTCATTTATAATGTATTTTAAAAGTAAAAGTTATTTCTAAAATATTTTGAAATTCTTAAACTGTTTAAGGTCACCAAAAAAACTTAATAAAAATATGGGTTACAATATGTATTAATTAGTATTCTTGAAAAATAATAGCAATCACTTAAGATTCCAAAACAATCATTTATTTTAATTTTCATTAATACATAAAAGATTTTTTTTTTCAAAATAAGTATCATTTAAAAAAAATTATAATTCTGTTTTTTCTTTATTTAAGCAAAAACTATTGATCGTGTAGTTGTTACGAAAGTTTTTTTTTTAATGGAGTTCTTAAGATATCATTTGTGTTTGGTGTGTTTTAATAATAAAATTATAATTACAGTTAAATATTATACTCAAACTGAGTTTTAGGTACAATTGCAGGGACTTAAAAGTTCTTATGATTATAAAATTTTTAATGAAAAAACTGTAATAACCATTAATTAAGTATCTCAATGCGTTATAATAAAAATTAAGTATCTCAATAAAATAGGATTCTAACAAAAAACAAAACTCTTTCAAAAATAAAACCTAAACAAAATAGATTTAAATAGGTAAACAAAACACTAATTTATCAATAAAGGAAAAAATTAATAAACGAGATGCAAACTATTTCAATAATACTAAATTTCATTAAAATATATTCCTAAATAGTACGTGGAGCAAATAAAAAAGTTGGGCAAAAATCTATCCTCAATTTCACAACATACAATATTAAGTATAAACTATTATAATATAAATTTATTACTAATAACATAACTACATATCATAATAGACAAAGTTTAATAATATAATTATATAAAATTTACATTAAACTAATAACAAGGCATATAAAACTACTGAAATGCCTTTTTCGAAAAAATAGAGTATCAAGTAGGACATATGATTAAAAAGATAATAAAAAAATAACACATAATATAACATGAAAGAAAACAAAAAAATATATTTTTCACATGAATTTATGGACATGATAGCAATACTAAAATATAAAAATCATATAATTATTTTATTCATATTTAGATTTAATTTCTAGAATTAAAATATTTGAATACGGTAATAAATTAATTAGAAAAATAATAAGGTTAACTAATTTCAAGTTTCATATTACTATACTAAGAATCTATATTTTATGAATTATATAGTTTAATTATAGGTGTCTTTCATTAAAATAAATTTAAACAACTATATTCAATAATAATTTTATCGAAAAAATCAATTTTGAAAAGTAACAAAATCTTATAAACTGAAATACAATGATAAAACAATGAATAACATGTAAAAAAATTAAATGCGGAGACTTTTATTGCCAAATAGATGAATGTTGATTGCTTAAGATATCTTTTATATTTGATATATTTATAATAGTAAAACTATAATTACAATGATTAGTAAAAGAGATAAAAGTATAATTTATTGTAAAATTAGAAGAATGCATGATAACAAATAAAATCAGTTAACTAAAAGTAATTGAACGCAATTGTCAAATAAATTATAAAATATGTTAGCTTTGAATACGGATCTTTTTCATTAACTACAAAATATCACATTTGATATTTGTTTCTATCATGATGAATTATATAAAATATATTGATGTACTTTTATGGAGTTAATATAAAAATATAGAATATTTTGTATATAAAATAAATAATACATAAATAGATTACATTTTATATTATTAATTATATTATCGTTTTTAAATTTGTAAGAATATACGATATCAATAATTTATTTAAAATACACTTCAATTGATATTTGTACTATCATATATTGACAACTGTAATTATTATATACCATTTCATAATTTTTTCAAACTCAAACATTGTATAATTTTTTGTTAATAATTTCATTTATTTTATATGTTGAGTCTACAACTAATATACATAAAAGAGCGAATATTCACACAAAATTTCCGTGACATCATTTAATGATTGTGAGGTTAGTTTGATGTCAAATAAACTAAAGAATCATAATTTTAATGCAATGTTTTTAACCATTACTTTTAAATATTATTATTTTTAAAATTGTATTTCAACTTTCAATATATTTGGCACTGTCCATTATGTAATGTACTTCTTGTGTTTTGTTAACTGAAAATAGTAATGCAAAAAATAGAATAGATCATAAAAATATAAATGAGAAAATATAATTTAAAATCACATTAAAATATAAATTATGTATTACGTGCATCGCACGTGCACTTTACTAGTTTTTTAAAAGTTTCAACAAATGATTTATTGACCTCTCTTTTTCAATATATATATAGGTATAACTTATTATGCACTATTTTAATCCAATTTATGCATTATTTTTTAAAACAATTCCAACTATCTCAATCTATTTTTACAGCAAACAAATATTCACTTTTACTTTCACTAACAGTTAATATTGGTTAATGAAATGACATAATACTATAAATAAATGTAAACTTACTTAAAAAAAGTTCAACTCCATTACATACATATTATACCATTTTAGTTCACCACTATCATGTCCAAGATCATATAAATCTATACTTATATAATAAGAATTAACCTTTTTCAAAATTAGTAGGTCAATTCTTAGTCAACATCTTGTCTGCATTAAATGTTTACTAAAATTAGTAATTTTTATGTCCTTTTCACACTTTTTTTTTATGTCCTTTTCACACTAGATTATATAAATGAACGGATATTATCTCACCTTTCATTAATCTCACCTATAATTCATGTGAATTGATTGATTGCCTTTAACTTTTCAAAACGTGTGCTATCCATTGTTTATTACTATTATTATTATAGTATGCACGTAATCAGTTGATTAAATAAATTATATATTATTATTATTATACTCACCGCGTGACAGTTAATTAAAATATATCTATACTTATATTAAAAGGTATACCATTTACCAGATTTAATATAAAGAAAAGTCAACAACATTTATTGCATTATTATTTCCGTATACAATCTATACTTATATAAAAAGAGATTCTATTTACTATATTTACTATCCAGAAAAGTCAACTGCATTAAATGTCATTACTATTTTGGTATTATAATATTTTATTTATTTAATTTTTTTATTTATTTATTTTATTTTAAAAAGGTAAGTATAATAAAAAGATTTTAATAATAAAAAAATCAAATACCAAATAAAAATGTACACTTTGACTTATTTGATTATATTTGGTATTTGATTATACCAAATATATTCCNA